AAAGGTAACGATCATTCCCCACAACCTCTGCTTGGAGAGTTCAAACTCGCAGGAAATGTTTCTCTGTGACCCACACTGTGATGATGTGATCATGTGTTCGTGCATTACTAGTATCTGTCACCGAAGGACGTGCTCGCTCTTCTAGTCTCTACCAGACTAACTACGCTGGCTATATCTAGAATAATATTTGCCAGGGGAGTTTGGCCGCCTTGTAGGTTTGACTGGCTGCTTCGGAGGGAACGAAACTACTAGTACCTCCCCGCGGCCGGACTCCCTTGGCCAATTTACTCTCTTTTTTGCCGAATTCTACGATCCGTGTTCCCGCAGAAAGGCCTGGTGGAGGCTAGCGATCTTCACAGCGGTCACAATAAACTTTATCTTGAACTGTTTGGACGCGCGACTTTTGAGAAAGTTTATGGAATTCTATGGAGACTTATTTTTTATCTATTTGTTCTGGATTGAATAAATGAAAACCGTTTGGGCTTAGCACACTTCAAATTTGATGACACTGATGAAAATACCGGCTAATGTATGTCAGTAATCACACTAATGGGGGTAGTTCCATATGGCCAGTATGAAGCGGCAGGACCGACACAGACGGTCCGACAACACCTGTAAGGTCCGCAGGGACCAGGGAATTTCGGTGCTGAAGTTTAACTTAAGATCTATCAAAGCTAAATAATAGTACTACTACTTAACTAGGCTAAAAAAATTGGATTTAAAATTTGATTTGATTTAAGCTAAATACGTGTATGAATCAATCTCCAAGCAGATCATACGGTGGCAAGGCAGTATCCATTGGCCAGAGGAGGGGTAATACTAGTAGATACTGCCTTGCCACCGTATGATCTGCTTGGAGATTACTATGAATAACGTCATCCTACGTACAGAATATATGTTTTGCGGCAACAAGAAAGGTTTAACTATTCTCTCACCTGTCTAGTCTGTAATAAATGTACCCCAGGCTGGAGGCAAGGCGGGAATGTAGGCCGGGAATGCGTCTGTATGGGCAATGAGAACCAGGCGTAGCCTCCATAGCATGCCAAAAACTGGGGTTTTGGGGTCTTCGGGAACTTTTATGTGCTATCTTCTGATTGCATATAGACAACATAGCCGGCCTGGTTGAATTACCCCGTTTAGAACTGGGCTAATCAGAAAACAGCCGAAGACCACCAAACCCACAGTTCTATAAGCCTGCTACGGAGGCTAATCAGAAAACAGCCGAAGACCACCAAACCCCCAGTTCTATAAGCCTGCTACGGAGGCTAATCAGAAAACAGCCGAAGACCACCAAACCCCCAGTTCTATAAGCCTGCTACGGAGGCTAGCGTGTGTCGGGGTCGGGAGGAGGCTGTGATGTTTTCTCCTGTCAGGACCCCGGGACTTTATCTGTCCGAGAATCGCGCTTACAGCAGTATCACTGTCCACATAGTATACTTCCCACAGAGCGCTAGCCTCGAACAGGCTTCGGGACGCGGCTGAATGCGTAGAAATCAGCCAAATAGAGGGCAGAGAGTAGGTCCGCTAGAGACTACATTTTGCCGCATCCGTGGGTCGCAAAATGTACCCTCGCTGGCCGGCTAACTCCCCTGGTATACCGTTCCCTTTATTTTGGCCAATTTCTACTATTTTTTCCAGCGATCCGCGGCGCCTGGTAGAGGCTAAAAGCACAGCTGGTGGCGATTTGCAGAACACACACCCGCCGCTAGGCGGCGCCCTGTCCGTACAGCCTGTACACCGCCAGGTAAGGGCCGGTCAGTCAGAGTGTCACGTCAAAGTGCGAAGTCCTGCCGCTGCTTTCTCCCCGTAACTTCCGTTATAAACCAAATCCAACCACTCACACAGCCTCATACATTTATACAATTACTAAGAAGAAAGAGGAAGTTGAAAAGACTAGATTACAGTATTTATACACGTAACAGTTGTGTGTATGGCCTGTGGGACAAAAATGTACAATGAATGAATGAATGAAAGACCTTTATTGTACATTTTTGCTCATTGCGAACTAAGTACAGGTCACTGCAAATAGCGATGGTAGACTAAAAGATATCTATACTATAGTAAAACTACATATGTACAGGTTCTGCTTCTTCTCGCTTCTTAAGACAGTTGTAAATGTAAGAACAGATGGAGTTTATAATACGAGAATTATCGAGTTTCATGAGGGATGTGAATTTTTCTTTTCTATGTAAAAATCTAAAACCAGGGAACAATGGAGGTCTTCTCCTTTCTGCGCGTAATGTCAGGCTGTCGCGGCTCAGCGGGCCGGTATGAAATCAATCCCTGCACGGTCTGTGCCGCTCTGCTCGCCCGTCAGAACGTGTCCGTCAGTCCACAGGATCCCTGCCGACCGTGAACACTAGCCTCTACCAGACTTCGGGAGGTGGCTGGGAAGAGTAGAAAGCGGGCAAATAGAGAGAGATAACATGTGAGGCGTGTGCGGCAAAATGTTCTCTCCCAGCAGACAAACTCCCCCGGCATGTTATCTCTCTCTCTATCTGGCCGATTTTTACTCTTCCCAGCCGCCTCCCGAAGCCTGGTAGAGGCTACGTGAACACAACCATTTTCCTCAGTCTGCAGGATCCCCACCGACCGTGAACAGGGCTGCTTAGCCTCCTGTGCAGGCTCCGGGGCGGGTGGCAGTTTTGATACAGCGTTCTGAAGATCCGTAAATAATTTCATCAGGTTGGTAAACGAATGAGTAGCAAAGTTCTTTCATCACAACCATTTATTTTTTACGAGCCGACGTTTCGATGACCGTCTGTCATCTTCATCAGGGCAGTTCTGACTGGTTTGCTGTGAACTGACGCTAGATGTGATCAAATAACTTTGATATTCAGCGTTTTGAAGAGTTTTTAACGCGTTATTTTAATAGCCGGCCATCCTAGAACCAGGTTCCATTCCGCCCAAAGAGCAGGCTGGTTGTAGGATGGCCGGCTATTAAAAACAGCGCGTTAAAAACTCTTCAAAACGCTGTATCAAAATCGCCACCCGCCCCGGAGCCTGCACGGGAGGCTAAGAACCACTTTCCTCTGCCAACAGCGCGCCGAGCAATTAGAGCCAGATCAGGTGTCCGGTCCTTTTAACCCGGGAAAGGCGAGACGCCGTGTTTTTGTGCCAGAGTTCTCAACAGTTCGCACAACAAGCCTAGCCTAGAACAGACTCCTTTAGATGGCGTGCACAGTTCGCACAACAAGCCTAGTCTCCAACAGACTCCTTTGCAGGCAAACTGACCGGCCAACTCCCCTGGCCAGCTACGTTCTTTTTAGGTCGATTTCTACTACTTATTATCATAAAGTTGATTGCAAATTATTATTTAGCCTGCAAACTGGACAATCTCCCCTGGCCAGCTACATTCATTTGAGGCCGATCTACTACTTTATCTCCAAGTAGATCTTTTGGTGGGGGTAAGACAGTATCAAATCGGCCAGTCTGTAACCATTTCCCCACCGAAGTCTGGCCAATTTGATACTGTCTTACCCCCACCAAAAGACCTGCTTGGAGAAGAAATTGGCCTCAAAAGAATGTAGCTAGCCAGGGGAGTTGGCCGTGTATAGAGGGTCCAGTTTGCAAGATCTGCTTGGAGATTACTACTTCTTCAGCCTGCAAATGAGCCTGTTGGAGACTACAGCAGTCCGTGACCTGTTGGCCAGACCGGATCCCGAAATCCGGCAGGCAGAACCAACTCGTGCATCTCAGGTTTCCCCTCCCGCCTGTGTTCCGCAGTTCTGTTATTCTTGCCGGTTCCTTCACGAGCTGACGGTAAGTGCTGCGGGCTTTGTGCCGAGGGTCCTTCAGCGCCGGGAGTGGCGCTTCTCCCCGCGTCAAGTGCGCGAATGGTTCCCGCTGTGTGTTCAGATGGTTCTGTGGCCGCTCTACGCGTGGCAGTTGAGATACTGTACTAGTAGTACCCTAGCCTCCGCCCGACTTCTTTTGCAGGCTGAATAAATCGTAGAAATCGTCCTAAAATTGGCGAGGCTTCTCTGGCCGGCTACCTTCTCTACCCTTTTTTAGGCCGATTTCTACGATTTATTCAGCCTGCAAAAGAAGCCTGGTGGAGACTACTGTACAGTGTACTAGTACCCTACTTTGCCTCTCTACCAGGCTTCGGGAGGCGGCTGGAAAGAGCAGAAATCGGCCAAATAGGGAGATAACATGCCGGGGGAGTTTGCTCGCCTGGAGAGAACAGCCTGGAGAGAACAGTTTGCCGCACCCGAAATGAGGGGATTACTTTTATACCGTTGCGACTACACACAGGTTTCGGGAGCGGCAAACTGTTCTCTCCAACCGACCAAACTCCCCTGGTATGTTATCTGTCTATTTGGCCGATTTCTACTCTTTCCAGCCGCCTCCTGAAGCCTGCTAGAGGCTACAGCCGCCTCCCGAAACCTGATAGAGGCTACAGCCGCCTCCCGAAGCCTGGTAGAGGCTAACTAGTACCCCACTTCTCTCCCAGCGCACTGGGACCGGCTCTTTCTGCCTCGGGGTATTTTCCTTCCCAATCCGACACGAGCCGAAAACAAAAATGCAAATAAAACCAGGAATCTGATAATTCGCCCTTTCCATTCAAACCCAACGGGCCCTTGTATGGTTTTTAATCACCGCCCACTTTAGCTCAAGCGGCCCGGCGACTTGTAATAGCGCGCCGCTTCGTCAAATCACCGATTTTCGTGACATTATCTCGTTCTGAAAGCCCCCTGAGAATCAGCCATTGTCCACAAATCTCTCCAACCCCTGCTGACATGATTGCACCGGCCAATTTTCTAATTTCGTCCAGTAAAAATTAATCTGGACAATTATTTTGTCCCGAGACCCGCCGACGATCGGTTTTCCGTACGCGAGAAAGTGTTTTAATTCGGGAGTGAGGCCGAATTATTGTATTATGTGAGATTGAATGTTGGTTCCCCTTCATTAGATTTTGCGTTCAGCACACCCCTGGGAAATAATGGATGTGTCTAATTATTTTCTGACCAATGGCGTCGCTGCTTTGGATCACGTGAGAAGAGTTGTGAATGTGGCGAGCGAGTGGACGAGCGTGTTTGTGTGTTGTTCAGTCATTCTCTAACTAACGCCGCAAGTTTTTCCCCTGTGCTCAAGTGCTCACGGATTTCTGCTCGTTTTCAGATGGATTCCACCTAAAATTCGCGGCGGCCGTCAGCAGACCATACCCGCCTGGAGTGGAGCTAAGTTGTTGAGGGGAAAACCAGCCGGGCAGGCTGTACCCGCAGGACGTGTGAGTGTGAAGTCCGTCCGCACGGCGAGAGCTAATTCCAAAGTGGAGCAGAAGTGGTTAGTGTTGCGCCCGGGCGGAGAGAGAGTTGTGGCCTGGCGACTGTAGCCGGCCGGGAACATGCTGGATCTGTGCAACAAACGCTGGCCCAGGAAGCTGCTGCTGATCGCCTGCCTGCTGTCCGTGCTGGTCTGCGTGCTGATCAGCTACCGGGAGTGTTGCCAGCAGCCGGGCGGGCGGAGGCGGGACGACCCGGGCTTCCTGGCGGCGGAGTGGGGCCGCGGCAGGAACATGGTCCGGTCCGTGTGGGACGAGGAGATCTCGGAGACGTTCCTGTCGGGGCGTCGGCAGTACCGCATGCACCTGCAGCAGGCGCGCTACGTGGACGCCAACTATAACATCGACGTGCGCGACGAGTTACCGGCCAACGCCGGGCCGCTGCGGAGGGACGGTACGGGCCCGGCGAGGCCGCGGCACCGCGTCCGGCAGACCAACCCGCACAACCCGCTCGCGTTCGGGTACCGAGACGAGGACGCCGACAGATCCTCGGGAACGACAGACGCCACTCTGAACCCTCTCTTGTCCTCCAACAGCCTGAACGCCACACGGAAACTTCCCCAGGTTATCATAATCGGAGTGAAGAAGGGAGGCACCCGCGCGCTACTGGAGTACCTGCGGCTGCACCCCGACATCCGCGCCGTGGGACCAGAGGTCCACTTCTTCGATAGGAAATACGACAACGGACTGGAGTGGTACAGGTACGGCATATATTACTTATCATAACCACATCTTCTCTTCTTAACACTTACATCCCACTCCTCCCAAGTACAACAAACGCTTTAGGCCAAGTTAGGGTTTAGTTTAATTAGGAGAAACGAAGGAAAATTTTGCTTTCCTCAACAGATGTTACGGTTGGGTCTGTGTTGGGTCTTTCCTCTGCGGACTAGAATTTTACAGGTACGGGATATATTACTTATAATCACATACATACATCCCACTCCTCCAAGTACTACCACAAACGTGTAGGGTTTAGCTTAGTAATTAGGAGAGTTATGTAGGAAATTTTTGCTTTCCTCTGAACGGATGTGACGGTTTATATAATAGGTCTGTGTGTCTTTTCCTCTACGGACGGGGATTGTACAATTGCAAGTACGGGGTCTAGTATTTATCATATTATCACATACGTCTACAAGTACCACAAACGGACAGGGTTTATAATTAGGAGATAGAGTCGTGTACGAAATTTTGCTTCCCTCGGAACAGATGTGACGGTTGAGTCTGTTCTGTGTGTCTGTCTTTCCTCTGATGCTGAACAGATAGTGTTACCGACTGGAATTGTGCAGGTACAATATCTATTATTTATCATAATCTCATCATCCACTTAACACGTACATCTTCCTCACGTCTGGCCACTCAACAACTACAACAAAAACTCCCGGGGTTTAGCTTTAGCTTAGTAATTAGGAGACTTGTGTAGGAAAATCAGGGCTTTACCCAAGCAAATCATGAAGCAAGCTCCTCCTCTCCCTAAAATCCTAGCACCTCTCCCCAGATATTCAAATTTATGGCTTTCTCTTAGTATTTTCATGAAAATTTGGTCATTTATTCATAAACCGATTAGGGAGGACCTCTCCCCGAAGTATTTTTGTTCCAGAATTTACATTTCAAGTCATGTATGTAGAAAACGCTTTTCTCTAAACAGATATAATTTACGGTTGCTTCTGTGTTTGTGTGTGCTTGTGTTGGATTTCTAGTCCATTTCAGTCGCCTTGTCAGAACCCACTTTCACAGTCCCTGGTTCCCTGTGCCGAAGTGAAGTCCGATCCTGCAGGTTAGCTCTGCTCCACTGAAGCTAAAGCAAAGCGCCTGAGACCCAGGCACGACAGGCATTCCTGCTAGGAAGTGGGGGTCGGGCCGGGGATGACAGAAGCGGCCGTCTCATGTTTCCCACGGCGGCCCAAACAGACAGATATACGGGCTGGAAAAGAAAACTTCCCCCTTCTCCAAACACCTAAACGCTACAAACGAATTTTTAAACCCTGTTTTACAAGCAAACTCGCGGTTATTTCCGTAGATAATATAGAATTATCAGAACACGGTTAATTTTTGTACCCCCGCTCACAGAGCCACCTAGATGGAATGTGGAGAGTAAAAAACGGCCTCTGTAGAACATTTGTTGCAGCGTAATCTCCCGACTCATGGCTAATTTATAGGCAGTAACACGAGGGCAGGGGAGCAGGCGAAGCTGACACACAATTTCGGCGGGGAAAAACGCCCGGACGGAGCAGTTTTCGTTAATTGTTAATGCGTGGAACAGGAGAGGTGCGCTGGGCTGGCGTGTTGTGTTGTTCCACGTCCTTGTAGCCTCCACAGCACGCCAATAACTGCTGGTTTGGGGGTCTTCAGGATTTTTTGTGTGCTATTTTCTGATTGCATATACTAGTAGACAGCATAGCCGGCCTGGTTGAACTGGGCTAATCAGAAAACAGCCGAAGACCAGCAAACCCCCAGTTCTATAAGCCTACGAAGGCTACGTCCATGCGGGCCCGTCCGTTCGCACACTTCGCTTCACCCGTCCGACTGGATATGAAATTATATCATATTTACGGGGTCGTGGCGGCGAGGCCTCCCCGCATATGAGACTTGTCACAGCGGGCTGACAAACTCATCTGGGCCGGGAGCCGACAGCCGCATGAAATACCTTTATGGAGCGGAGCTTCTGCCGCCATCGTGATTCATTATTACATGTCCCAGGCGGCAGCCCGGTACTTTTACCGGCATTTATTATTGATGATGGCGCTCTCGGCCGGCCCGATTCTGGCACGCCAGCTAGGGCAGCAACAAACTCCGCCGCTTTCGTGAGAGGGAAAAAAAGGGCCCACATTTTCTCCACTGTGTAGCCAGGGGAAAGGCATAGCCGCTACCAGTACCAGGCTTCGGGAGGCGGCTGGAAATAGTAGAAATTGAACTAGAAACTGGCCAAGTAAAGAGATAGCATGCCGAGGGAGTTGGTCAGATAGGCCCGCTCCAAACTCTGCCGCTTTCGTGAGAGAAAAAAAGAGACCCACATTTTCTGTGTAGCCAGGGGACAGCCATAGCCTCTACCAGGCTTCGGGAGGCGACTGGAAAGAGTAGAAACTGGCCAAATAGAGAGATAACATGCCGGGGGAGTTGGTCCGGTAGAGAGTACATTTTGGCGATTCTGGCACTTCAGGGTCGTTCCAAACTCTGAAAAAAAAAACTACAGCCCCGTTTTCTGCTAGTCTCCGGGCGGGTGGGAGTTTTGATACTGCGTTTTGTAGAATTTTTAACTCGTTCTTTTGCCTGCACAAATTTCACTGGGCAGCTGGTTGTAATACTTGTAGGATGGTCGACAAAAGAACGAGTTAAACTTAAAATTCTAGAAAACGCAGTATCAAAACTCCCAGCCGCCTGCACAGACCAGAGGTCTGATTTTCTCCGCTGTGTATAACCGGCAGTCCAGGGAAAGCCGCCGCCGGGCCGGGTGGTAAGTTGTTGGCAGAACGTGCCGCTTCAATAGAAACCCACAAGTGCAGGAACAACAATCACAAATTGATTTGCCGGCCCCACGAGAGAGAAACAGAAACTCGGGCGGCCTGTCGTACAGAAACACAGTATCAAAACTGACCCCTCTGGTCCCAACCCCTTACAGACACGTAACTCTAGAACCTGCGTACATTCTTAAAACAAGAACCCTGAGAAACCGAACCCGGCAGTCAGTATGACTTGAGAGGCGTATTCCGCTCGGTAAGTGCGTGATTCTTACCAAGTTTCCGTCTTTACTACACTAAAATTCTCTCACTACATGATTTAAACTGATTATGTGAACGGGTCAAGCAAAATCACAGGTCTGAAAAGCTACCGAGAAGAGAGAAAGAATTTTCCCTTCTGTTGTTGTAATTGGCTTATATCTGTTTAGTGTGTACATGAGGGAAATGGCTGAATGCAGCTCGGGGGCAAGGAAGCGTGGCTGTAGCAGGGAAGGGTTTGCCTGTCGTGTTGTATGTACTACTAGAGAGAATGTTGCCGACAAGTTCGCAGTTTGGTGCAAGTTTGTTCCCCCGTCTTCCCACCAAAACGTTAGCCCGATTAGCACCAGGGGGTCCGATCCACAGCCTGAAGAGAAACTGCCGGTCTCTGGTCTTGTGTGTGAGAAAAAGCCGTGTGGGGTGTGTTTGTTATGAGGGCGGCTGGCTTGGATAGTTACAGGATAGGATTCCGACATTCTGCCGGCGTGTTTTGGGTAAGACTCCCCGCCAAAGGAAGTGGGGCAGTAGCGTTAAGAATGCGGCCCCACGGCGAGGGTTCGGGTTGTAGTAAGGAGGCTAGTCTCTACAGCTGTACAGGACTAACTACCCCGGCTATAGGGGAGTTTGGCCGCCTTGTAGGTTTGACAGGCCGCGCAGTTTGGAGGGAAAGAAACTAGAAGAAACTACCTCCCCGCGGCCGGACTCCCTTGGCCCAATTTTACTCTTTTTTTTTGCGGAAATCTACGATCCGTATTCCCGCAGAAAGGCCTGTTGGAGGCTAGTAAGTTGTAGGAGGCGCTCTATCGTGGGTTTGTAACGGCTCAAGTGTTTGCTTTCTTCAGAAGAAGGTCAAACATCCCACGCGGCCCACAATAGCGGCGGGGTTGATGAAGTGAGGAGTGTTGGTTCCTGTAGCTCTGATGGGCGCTGAAGTGTCTGTTTGGCGGCTGTTGGCGGTTACTAGTATATACTGCCGTGAGACCAGTTTTTACTGTGGTAAAAACCAACACGAGTTGTCAGCAACACAAACATGCATCAGTAGTCACCTCCACGTCCCGATCTGGGAAAAATCTACTCTACAAGCAGAGGGTGTGGGGGAATGATCGTTAGCTTTTTATATGTGGCCGGGTTATTTTTTTGTCGCTAGGCCACCAACCCGTCGGTGGCCGGCGACCTTCTCAGGCAAATGGATACTGCCTGGTCTATTTTATACTGTTTTTTTGCCACCGAAAGGGATCTGCTTGGAGATTAGGAAAACTCACCAAATCACGCAGCACCGCTTCCCAATCTGGGAAAACTCACAAAATCACACGCACACCTGAACAGCGCTGTGTGTTAGCCTCCGTAGCAGGCTTATAGAACTGGGGATTTGGTTTGGTGGTCTTCGGCTGTTTTCTGATTAGCCCAGTTGTCAAAAAAACGGGGGTAATTCAACCAGGCTGGCTATGTTGCCAATATGCAATCAGAAAGGACCCCCAAACCCCCCAGTTTTTGGCCTGCTGTGGAGGCTACCAAAACGCTAGAACAGCGCTGCCTGTGTGCTGCCATGTGACTGTGAGATCGTGCTGGGAGTGAGATCGTGCGTTACCCGGGCTTTAATTATTGAGAAGGGCGTAAACAATGGCGGGAATGGCGCGGAAAGCCCCCGGGACGGGCCGTCTCTGCGGATACAGCAGTTCTCAGCAACATTAAAATCCATTAGAAACGTCACGGACAAAAGGACGGCCATAAACAACACCATTGTGCCCCGCTGGAAGAAAAATGGTGAATAGTTTTCCCGTGAATACGGATCAAGTCAAGTCACAACATGAAGTGTTGAATGTTTGTAAATACTAGAGTTCCATTTGATTAGGTCAGCAGAGAAAAATCTTTGGTTGCATACTAGTAGTTAAAAACTCGGTAGTTGTGTACAGAGATTTACCATTTCTATATTGTGTACAAACTCACCATTTCTTTGTTGTGCACAAACCATTTCTATAAGAAAGATT